AATTCGTGTACGTACGTATACAGTAAAGCTTAGATCTACAAAAGCTAAAAGTATTTACAATAAGTTATGGTACCTCTTATATGCGTGCATATGTGCGTACGTATGTACGAATACTAGATTTAGTCAATCTACAAAATTAAAAAAACTTTAGAACTTTACGCACAATAGCTAAAATCAAAAGAAGATTTGTTCTATTTATAGTGTGATTTTACAGAGGATAATTTTATATGGTGTTATATAATAGGTTATCAAAAAAATGTGATAGTGACTATAGGGTGATTGTGCCTATATAGAGGTATAAATAATATAAAAAAGGTTGGTAAAAATAAAAACGTGATTATATAGATTTGTAACTATAGAGGAGGTGACTATAGAGAGGTTCGACTGTATTTAGGTATTAGCTAAATAAATTCTTAATGGTAAGGGTTGTCATCTGCAATACTCAATTTAATTCATTTGAGATAACTATTCTTTGGTAAAATAGCTAATAATCAAAATAGTCCAGAATAATATTGTTCAAATAATAGTTTTAAAATATTTCTGCCAGAAAGCACCAAATATTACAGTATTGTAGCCTTTTTAACAGTAGTATTATAATAATGATACAGCTACAGGGATCCTTCACAGGTTTATAGTAGTATTCAACAAGTATAATTTCTACTTCAATTAGAAACTATATTCTTTTGTCTGTAGCAGTTTAGGCAGACAATAGTTTATATATAAAATATATATTTTATTAAGAGAAATAAGATAGGCTATTCTTAGGTTCTTATTTCTAAAGAATCCTATAATATTACAAGAGAGAATTTAGAGAAGAAGGAAGTTTAGATCTAAGAGTAAACAGTAATAGGTCTAATATTAACTTGGAGAATTTTATATTCTTTTTATATTTTTAGAGCTAATCACTAATTATTGCAGCTAAGCAAAGTTTACTTAGTGCTAAATATAAAGTATAATTGCTAATCATTAAGTATTAAACACTAATTATTAATCATTAATTGCTAAGTATTAATTGTTAAGTGTTAAGCATTAATTACTAATCATTAATCACTAATTATTAATTGCTAATCATTAATTGTTAAGTATTAAGTACTAAGCATAATATATATCTTTTAAATTCTACTCTAATAATAATAACTAAATAATAAAATAATAAAATATAATAATAACTAATAATTATACAATATTGAAATAATAAACTAATAAAATAATAAACTGTTTTATAACAATATTTTATTATAAATATTTTTTTATTAAAAATAGATAAATTTTTAAATAATATTATTTTAACAAAATTTAAATATTTTTTATCAAACTTTTAACTTTAAAACTAAAACTTAAATTATTCTATTTGGTTGATCTTTAGTATAGGTAGGCATAGATAATTATTATACAATTATAATATATATAAATTAACTATTTTAAACTAATTTAAATAATTTTATAAATTATTAAAGTTAGAATTAAGGTTAATACTTACCTCTGTTCTTTATTTTTCTCAAATTGATCAAGCAAATAACGACAGTATAAGTTTTTATATTTTGATTTAAAGCTTTTAATGATGCCAGCGTCTATAGGTTGGAGGTGTGCTGTAGTATGTGGCAGAAGAAAATATACAACGTGATTGGTAAGGTTAAGACTTTCCACAGTTCTTCTTGGTTGACTTGATCGATTTGATTGACTTGAACGAGTAGGATTGGATCTTTGAGATCCTCGGGACCTTTCTAAGGACCTTCCTTGTTGGGGTTCTTGGGGCTCTTCAGTTTCTTCGGAGTCATTTTCCGATGATAATTCCTCAGCATTATTTTGAACTTCGGCCGTATTATTTGTTCCTGGAGTCATGTAAGAGGCCGCATTGTCAATGAGAAGCAGGACTTTCTTACCTTGGATACAGAAACCTTTATCAATAAATTTTAACCATTTTTCCCAAATATTACTTGTCATCCATACTTTTTTATTATTTTTGTAAGTCACTGGTAGCTGTGATATGTTTATTCCGTTAAAAGATCGTGGCTTTTTAGAGATGCTAATAACTAGTGGCCGTAACTTGTCAGTACCAGTTGAGTTAGAACAAAATAGCACTGTTACTCTTGTTCTGTCCTAAAAAAAAAGCAAGAAAACTTGCAATATTTTTTTTTTTTTTTTTTTTTTTTTAATAACAAATTACCTTCTTCTTTCCAGTAACCTTTTTTTTTTTGGAAAGAGTTTGATTAGGGAGTAACCGGTAAAATAAGCCCGTCTTATCAGCATTGTATATATTGTCTGGGCTATAATTAGATAAAAGTTCTTGTAATTTGATTCGTTCAGCAGGTAAGCTTGCTAAGGGTGCACTTGCTGCCTCATCATGCATTATAGTTTTTCTTAACCCATTACATTTTTTAAATCTAGAGATCCACCCATTTGAAAATGTAAGTGATTCTTCAGGTATGCCAAAGGCTTGTGCAAATTGATGGCCTTTTTCTTTTATTAATGAGTCAGATAAAATCATTTCTTTTGTTGTAACCTGCTTTATCCACATGTTCATAGCAAGTTCTAACATGGGATACTTTACAGAATGATGTCGAAAAATATTTTCAGCCTCTACATTATCATCATTAATTTGTTGATATTCATCTGCTTTCTTTAATATCTTTGATATGGTGGTGCGATCAATTTTCATTTCTGAATAACGTTTCATGAATTCATCTGCGATTTCTTGGTGTTTATAGGATGGATTCTTTTTGGCAAACTCACAAATTTCTTTTTTTTGTTTGTCACTAATGCGACATCATGTTTTTTTAGGGACAGGCTCAGGAGGCATATTGCTAATAATAATTCTTGACACGAATTAAAGTTTAATAGAAAATAGCTGGCCGATGGCGTTATGGTATTTGTTTTTAAGATAAATTCTTTTGAACTTTTTACATGCCTTATTATTATTAAAACAACAAAAAAGATTGATGGCTTACTATAACATACTTGTACCTTTTGAATAGAGTATTAGTATTTCACGTTTAGATCAAAAGGTTAAATTATTAAGACTTTTTTATATTCGATCAACTTTATACGTACGTACGTACATATTATTCTCCCAATATCCTATTGTTCAATAAGTACGTACGTATGTATAAAGACTACCTATGACAACCCGAATTGATTAATTTTTTATTATCCTGTTGCACATCACTACTAACTTTGTTCACGAACAAGACAGGCTTTTGTGATTCAGAACAATATCCAAAAAATCAGTCAAGATCCATGGTTTAATAATATAGATGCCTGCTATTACTGCCACTTTCCCCAATTAGTATGCTGCTGAGAAATTTTATGCAAATTTTATTATAATCATTGCATTATCTGCATGGTATATTTTAAGAGTTAACTTTTTAGGCTCAATTTATATTTTTTTTTATTATTTCAAATTAAATAGGAATGGATCAGTTCTGGAAGGCCGAATAAGGATGCTTTTTTTAAACCAGTCTCACGGTTCCAGTCTTGAAACCGCCCAACCTAGTACCATAAATAGTTAAAACGGGCTGCTGGATTTTTAAAAAAATATATTACATAATTGTTGTATTGACCAAAATTTAAGTCATTTGCTAATCAATAAATGTAATTACTAGGGCCGTTTTTGGATTAGAACCGGATATCAGTCATGTGGGGAATAGACTAAGAAAAATCGCCATTTGAAGAGGTTTTGAGTTTTGAGAGAAATGCGATTAGTGCTCGACAAAGTCAAGTAAAAACTCAAAATTCAAGTACTTGATTAAGTCAAGCAGCTAATGGTAATGTAAATCAGATTTAAATCTTTTACTAAATCTAACGAATTGCTGCATAACGTATGTTATGCAAGAATTGCCAGCAATTCGTTAGATTTACTAAAGTATTTAAATCTAATTTGCACTACTATACTATTAGATGCTCAACTTAATCAAGTACTTGATTATCAAGCTTCTACTTGATTTTGTCGAGACTAAATGCGATTATTCTGACTAGAAGACTTCACTGTCAAGAGTCAAAACTAATAGAAAAAAAAAAGGATGAACTATTGAGTTTATTAACGATAAGTATATCAGATGTTAAATGAACATTGTTTAATGTGAAATTAAATCCCAGAATTATTTTTGAGATTCGCCAAGCTAAATTGATGACCTTCTGATTGGTTATTATTCCATTTTTAGAGCATTGTCTTCGAAGAATCGTTTTTTATTAAACTATCTTGTTAATTTACCATTGAAGGGTGTGGTGACATAGTGCAGTTGGCAAGTTGTCACCCCCAAATGGCAGGTCTAGGGTTCAAATCCCACTGGTGACGATTTTGAAA